CGGTGCCACTGTCATGCCCCATGGGCTGTTTTTAGGCTCGAATCTTGCAACCCAGGATCGTGTTTCACAACCGCCCCAGTCACTTCCGACACCTGCAGACGCAAGGCGGCCGTCATTCTTCCAAAGATTTGAGCGGTTTTGGAGGGATATCATATACTTTTCACGATCAGAACGTGACAACGAGAAAGACTATACCTCCCCACACGGACTTCGTCAGAACAACTCAATAGAATTCATTCGCGCTCATCTTGGCCACGGAACTGTCGATCTCATATTCAGTCTATTGGGACTTGCGGTGCCGATCAACTCGGCGTACGTCCCTCCTTCCCTCTTACTTTCATTACTTGACGCAGATGGTCCAGGATATTGGTTTTGGCCGCTGCCATGTTCTACTCGTCCGACAACAATGACTCGATTGGACTGGTTACCATGCATACCTTGATGCTACAAAGTCTTGGGGCAGGTAAGTGGAGATGCTCATATTGCAACAATACTAGACTCACTATTAAATAGCCGCGGCCTTAATGTTTGCACTCGCCCTCATCTGTTCGGGCCAAACTGCCAGTGTTACGGCAACGCTTGCAGGCCAAATTGTCTCCGAAGGGTTCATATCGTGGAACATCTCTGTATGCATCATTCATTTCGATAGCTTCATCTTCGCCCTAACGCCTGTTCTTCACAGCCATTTGTCCGCCGTCTTCTCACACGCTTGATCAGTCTAATACCCTCTATTGTCGTTGCTGTTGCATCTGGAGGGGCAGGGATCAACGCTCTCCTCATTGCATCACAAGTCATTCTATCCATCGTCCTCCCCTTCGTCGCATTCCCCCTCATCTATCTCACGTCGTCAAAAACGGTGATGTCTGTTAGAATACCGAAAGTGGTCCAAGAAAAACTCATCGATACCCTGCCGATACCTTCCACGCATGCAGTATCCCTTGTTCCTGACCCACTGTCTACCCACCAGCCCCCCTTACCTGTGACCACTGGTATTGCTGTTGTTGAACGAAACATTGAAAGTCATGATGATTCAATCAAGCATTCGTCAACACAGACATGCGAAACAGAGGAATACGACGTTATCGACTTCAGTAATGGATATATCGTCACAGTGTTAGCGTGGGCCATCTGGGTGGTTATATTGATTGCCAACGTTTATGCTATTGTCATGCTTGCAATGGGAGAAACAGGGCAGTGAAGGAGAATTCAATTAAACAGCATTTGTTGTCTTTGTGTTGTAGGCTTTACAATTGTAGAGTACAACCGAGGACATTGTTGTATATCAGAACCTGTATGATTATGCTTGCGGTGTTTATTCTGTTGTCGAACTCCTATGAATCATTGACTTACTTCAAGTTGAGGATGGCACAGAATTAATGTTCGTGCGGAAATGATACATTAACACTGGCAGGTGCCATTACGTACGTGATATAATCATACAACTCCCAGCCAACCAACCGATAAGAAACCTGTCCACAACCCAACGAAAGTCTATCAAATCTTAGAACGCAACCTGCTCGGTCAACCCGTCCATTTCTCGCTCATAACACCTGTGCTGGCTAATTTGGAATGCGAAGTTAGAAGCAAAGCCTCTCGTATCCGGCGCAATGTTGAGCACGTCTGTGACAGCCGAGGAGATGCTGTACTTCCCTGTAGTCACTACGCCGTAAGATGTGACAACTTCATCGCTGTCTTGGTCGCGCGAAGGGGCGAATAGATCGATACCAGGGAGTCTAACGTCGTCACGGAGGAAACCAACACCTGAAACGTCTCAAGTGTCAACGACCGTGTTATAACTTATCGCCGGTGTCTAACGGACACACCTTCACCAACAGCAGCGATAGCCTTGCAGTGACCAAATGCCTCCCTCACCCAGTGAACCACGCGACCGTTCTTTCCAAGGGTCTTTACGTGCTCCTCGCCGGAAGGGATATAGATGGCATCAAACAGTGTTGAACGCTGGCTGTCAAAGTGGTGATCGGCGAATACTCCTGGACCAAAATCCTGACCGGCCATCGGACGAATATAGTTACGACGAGGACCGATAAGGTAGCAAACAGCCTTTGCGCTCGTGAGAGCGGCCCGCACAGCTTGCATCTCAACAGCGTTGAACCCGTCCGAGATCAGGATGGCAATGCGCCTTGAGACAATGGTAGGCTCCTTGGGCAAGAAGTCGAGTTGCGAAAGACCCTTGCTCTTCTTCCCATTATTTTCACGACCGGGCTTTGTTGGTACCTCGCCATTCACCTTAACGGCGACCGCCTTGGCCAGGTCAAAATGGATGTTATTCAAAACGTCGATGTAGGACTTGTAAACGACCGGGTCCTCGCAATGGCTAAGTTCGAAGCCGATGGCGCTGACGAGGTGGGCCCTTTCATACGCAGAAAGCGAGTTGTAGAACAATTGAGCTTGGTCGAAGTGCTCCTGAAACTTTATCCCGCGCGCCCTCTTTTTGATACCCTGAAGATACTGTGCATGTCTATGACAGTGTGAGACTGAGAAGGCGAAAAGACATGAGGAAAACCTACTCGACGTATCCACCTTCCTCCCCGGTAACCGGGCGTCCGATATCCTTGCGGTTCGGCCAATAATTGACTTCGCTCTTAACAATACGATGCCTGCTCTTCCCGTCACGGTTGTGATTGAACACAGGACATATAGGTCTATTAATGGGAAGCTGCAGTCGTAGCAATGAGTGCAAGTTTCGGCGACAGAAAACAGCTAGAATTCACCTCCTCCCAGTTGACACCCAAACGAGAGATCTGGGTATCAAAGTACGAGAAGTTTCGACCTTGCAGAAGAGGATCGTCACTGAATCCTATTCCTGGAACGACATGGCTGGTGCAAAATGCGACTTGCTCGGTCTCTGGGAAAAACTCGTCAACAACTCGGTTGAGAACTAGTTCACCGATCTCTTCAAGAGGTACAGATTCCTGCGGCCAGACCTTTGTAGCGTCCAAGATGTCGAATTCGAACTCGTGCTCTCGGGACTCAGGGATTGTCTGAATGGCGAACTTCCACTTTGGGTATGCACCGCTCTCGATGGCCTCGCTCAAGTCTTTACGGTGAAAATCGGGATCTTGGCCGTTGATCTTGAGGGCTTCATCCCAAAGAAGGCTGTGGACCCCCAACTCTGGGATGAAGTGAAACTTGACGAAGTGGCGTTGACCTGCTGCATTCTGCAGCGTGAAGGTGTTCACCCCGAATCCTTGCATCATGCGGAAGGACCGTGGAACGCCGCGATCAGACATGACCCACATCACCATATGTGCAGCTGCAAAAAAGGGCGTCAATAAGTATATGGGAACGACTAATTTGACAAACACTCAGGTTGCAAGCCCACAAAGTCCCAAAAGTTGTTATGGGCACTCTGGCCCTGAGGCACATCATTATGAGGCTCTGGCTTCACGGCGTGAACGAAGTCAGGGAATTTAATGGCATCCTGAATGAAGAAAACGGGAATGTCATTTCCGACGATGTCCCAGTTGCCTTCTTCAGTATAGAACTTAACTGCAAACCCTCTGACATCGCGGACGGTGTCCTACACGCGACAGAAGACTTTAACCGATTATATGCGCGAAAGAAGAAGCATATACGCACAGCGCTGCCACGCGAACCCTGAACAGTGCTGAAACGGACGAAGACAGGAGTCGTCCTCGAGGAATCCGTCAGGACAGGGGCGAATGTGTATTTCGAAGCGCGATCGCTAGATACCGTGAAATAGCCATGAGCACCGGTACCGCGGGCATGCACTACACGCTCTGGGATCCGTTCGTGGTCAAAGCGGTGTATCTTCTCTCGCCCAATCTGATCCTCAAGGAGCGAAGGACCGTTCTTCCCTGACTTGGGCTCAATGGGCTGGGTCTCGGTCTCGGAGCCGATGATCTTAAGCCTGACAAGAAATTAAAGATCAACACCACCTACCAGATGCATGCACTCATGCTCACCAATTGTCCGTGTCAGCCACCTTGACGCCATGATCCGTTGTCAGCCTGGGCTGGCCGGCTTGCGGTTTCTGTATGTCTCGCTGCAAGTCCACGACTTTCTTCGTGGAGGTCATGGTAGTGAAAGCTTTTTCGACTGATTGTCCGATAGACGACATGGCGGGTTATGGAAAGAGAGGGGGCGGGCGTCCATCTCGTGTTTTATACTCCTAATCATAGGCCGACGCGGACAAGACTTGCAATCCAAACTTCGATGAGATCACTGGTGACGAAAAGACGATCGGTCCACGTGACCGCGTCGCACATTTGAATTTTAAAACATCACCCGCCTCGAGCTCGCCTTGTATGACTCTCACTTATTCTTGTCGTCGGTGGACCGTCGAGTTGCACTAGCGTAGATGACCAAAATAGCTTGTAGCAGTTCACATTCACCCAGGATCCCGGTGAACGTTTGACTAGAACACACACAAGCTTAAACTCATGATGGTGGCCCCAACACAAGTTGTCGAGCTGGAGGAGACATGAGATTATAGGCAAGTAGTCCTGACACGCTCACAAATGCATAAATGGTTGTATTTTTTCCGCTGCGCATGGGTATATAAATAACGAAGGTGGCAGAACAACGCCGACGCGTCTTCCAAGATATAAGGAAGTGGTTTTAAGAAGGGTGATCGTTTGTTTACGTTACGGAAAGTCAAAGCATCGTCATATAGGAGTTAACACAAATAAAGTATCCGAACAAAATAGAATATTACCGGCCCATCGTAGGCGAGGTAAGCATAAATGAGGGAGGCAGCCCGAGATCGCGTTCGTCACTGGGCCCAGCAACTATGGCTGAGCGGTACGATACGCAACACGTCAGGAACGGAAATAGCGTAGATAGCGGAATGATACGTCTTCAGAAGCGCGCAGTGGACGAATCGACCATCGACTACGACGAAGCGAGTGGCGAAAAACGCTCGCCCATGCTGTGAATAGCACATGGATCAATACAGGGGAAACGCAATTCAAAACAATACGTACGCATAGTGTTAAACAGCACAACAGAATACGAAACTATTTGATGTCGGCGCACAAGCACTGGGCTGAGGCACCGACTGTTCCTTTGCCGCAGCTGTCACACCAACTCCTGTGACCGCTGTCGACACCTATAGACTTGACTGCTGCAGACGGCGTGGAAGCCACGGATTCATCACGATGAATGCTGACCAAGTGACGGCCAAGATCATGTTTGCGGCTAAAAGACCGCCCACATGAGCGATGAGGGCACACATGGGGTTTAAGACGATTTGGGTCATGGGTTGCCATGTGCGTCTTCAGGTTGTAAGCCCGAGCAAATGCTGGAGGACAAGAGTGATCAGCGATAAGCCAGGACAACACATATGGTACCAACCTCGCGGGCATGAAGGGCATTGGTACCTTTTACGAGGATCGTCTTTGGACTGATCGTCGACACCCCTCAGTGACCTCGCAAGAGGTGGGGGGGAGGAGGATGCGGATAATTGTGACATGTTGGATGGCGCGACACCGGGGTCAGTGCTGGAAATGTAGTTGAGGAAATATTCTGCGGTCGAGGACTTTGGTACCGCAGGAATGCGAGTTGCGCCACCATAGTCTGAGAAGCTTGTGCGCTTATAGGAACTGTCTGCAGCAGGCGCAGTCACAGAAGGACTGCGGGGGCTAAGGGGCAAGGCCCCAAAAGTGCTGGGGTCGACAGTCATGGGAAGAGAATTATTGTTGGACTGCGCAGCGGAATTAATACCATAGTCGGAACAAGCGCTACCACCGACGCGGACACGCTGGAAATCCATCTCTAGGTCTAGAGGAAAGGAGCAACTGGCAGAAAAGGAAGGAGAATCCGGGTAGTTATAGAGGGACTCTGAGTGGGTGGAAAGAGTGTCGTATGCAGACTCGGAAGAAACGGTGATCGTGGAAGGAGGACCACACGTTGGAGTATCGGATCTCAAAAAGGAGTAAGCGTCGTTGGAGTCTACGGTGAGGAGCTGCAGCTGGACTTCGTTGAAAGCCGCAAGGCTTGAATCCAGTTCTAATTCGAATAGATCGGGATGGGGTGCGAGGATGTCTGAAGGCGAGTGAAATGAAGTAAAGTCAAGGCCACCACCTTGCTTTGTGAATTCAGAACCATAGGGCTCGAAGGAAGAATAGAAATCATCAACTTGTGAGTCTGCTGCCATTGGAGATCTGATACTGCGCAAATATTTTACTGCGAAGTCGTAGAGTGTTTAATCGAGTCAGATACTAAAGTTAAGCAGGAGGGCGAATTCTGCTGCGGACCACGCAAGCAAACGGCTTATAACCATCATTACATCAGCCTCATTCTCACCCTTCACAGCCTATTTAAGAAAATTCTATTGGAAACAATCACGATAATGACAAACAATTGTGTCAAGGTTCCGTCGGAGCGTAACCAGCGCTGACTAGTACTAGGTGTGCGCTCAGGCTTGCGCCCGCATCTTGATCTCCGTATGCAACCACGTCGGGTCGCACAGCATCCCCATGTGAATTTCTTTGCGTGTTTCGCTTGTTTCATAGAAGAAGCGGTCACTTGTGTCTTTAAAACTTTAGGAGGCGTACGGTATGTGCGGTCTGCTACCGAAAGGTTCCGAAGCTATCACAACCTGCGCGCGGGAGTTGTTATGGGTCGCTTGGGATCTCTATCATGGTGCACAGCTTGTGTTGCCCCTGACAGCTAGCAACTCCGTTGCAGCCAGCGCGCGCACCAAATCCGTAAATACTGTGATCCCCGCCTAGGAGGTCATCTTTGTCCGTTGACCTATTGTTGGCTTCCGTCGGCGTGGCTCAGGTGCTGTTCGAGTCAATGAGTTGACTCACGATGACATCGCCCGCCTAGCTCAATCGGATAGAGCGTCAGACTCTTATGACTAGGCGATCTGAAGGCTGCGAGTTCGACCCTCGCGGTGGGCTAATAGTTTTTGTTGTCTAGACGATCCTCTAGTCCAAGTTTCAGTATGTGACAGTATGAATAGACAACTTCTCCCCTGAAGGTGATTGTGATTCGTTTTACAATTGACATTACTCGAGGCATTTAAAGGAGCATGAACAATTTCGGCACTTTCATTTCACCGTAAACTGAATCATAATACATAGTCGTATAGTCTAAATATCCATATTGATGAGTCTCACGAGGGGAGTCACATCGCTGATCGTGATAGGTTATCGCTTATCATAAAAGTCCACACTAAAGTCTGCGGGTGATGACCAGCATCAAATATTCATCCTCGGAATGTACAACAGCTGGTTGAATGATAAGTGACGCCGTTTTGAGCGAATTGATTAAACAGTGAAACCATACCTGACCATGTATGGCACTGTAGCGGCGGCCAAACAGGCAAAGGCAGCCCATGCAAGGTATATTCCATTCCCATAGGACACGATGATCCCTGATACGACGCCACCATTGAGGTGTGAGATTTCCAGGGTATTGATGTCCTCGCATTTTTTGACGATCGACGTCCAGATGGCAGCGCCGATAAGAATGAACAACGCAGCCATTATCGATGAAGCCGTTGAAACAAAAAACAGGAGTGCCCTTTTTGCTACACCGCTGTAGGCAGGCCTTGAGTGTGGTGTGTATGAGAATCGAGGTAGACCTTACGTGAACAATGCGATGGTTGCAAATATGGTCCCGATGAGGATGAAGTAATATGCAACACGAGAATTATAAGCCAGGTAGGCTGAGTTGACGAAGGTCGTGTTGACAAACATTGAATCAGAATATTGTGAGTAGTTGGCGAGCATATCGGACTTCATCGCAGTGTAAGGCTCGAAGTTGTTGGCAATGGTGTGATTGGTGCACGTTCCAGCAGAGCTGTTAACGTACGCACAATAGGAATAGAGACCGAAGTCGTAGAATTGCCTCAACCCATTATGCTCGCCGAGCGGTGAGGTATAATTGGTGGTGTATAGGCCCCCAATCGGATTAAAGATGGATTCATTTAGTGCCTGACTGTGGCCCTATTAGCATATTGGCCAAATAAATTATTTAGGGCACTAACCCGAACCCTGAAGTGTTGACTTTTGCCTGGACGGTGTTCGGATCAGAAAGGTTTCGGGCCCACAGTTATGACCACTAATCAATCACCATTGCAATTCCATGTGGAACAAGTGAGGTATTGATTTGCCCAACCTGACAGAAGTGATAAGATTAGAATGGAAGGGGACGACGAAGACATACATGGACGAAGATTAATAGCAAAAGTGCAACGAACCTGTCGGCAAGGTAAGTCGGGAGCGGAAGCCGAAGGAAATATACTCACGAAAGAAAGGATGCACCTCCAACACAGTATTCTCCTCTCATTTTTCAATGTTCCAGTGACGATAAGCTTCTAGAGATGAATGAAACAAGGTATAACGGGGCGTAGAACTTCACGGCGTAGCATGAAGCAGGCAAACCTGCAGCATTGAATACACGCGACTTTAATATCTTGAAGTCTACATTCTATTTTCCCACGAACAATTGAGCAGCTGCCACTTGCCAAGGTGCTTATCCAAATAGGGAATAACCGCCAACTCTGGCGCCGTGAACCATTTCACTATCTTGCCTTGAGCAGAGCCAGCCAGCATGTCCAAATCGTCCCCTTGGAAGCCCCTTACTCGTAATACAGCAGTACCAAGTCCTCAGGAAAATGAAATTCCCCCTCAAGATCCCCGTTTGCTAGACCAGGTTGAACAAGATGAGGACTCTCCACAAAGTCGCGCAAAACGTCTCGCACTCAGAACCAAGGATTTTGGCAAGAGCATCGGTAGTAGAGCTCAGTCACCAAGTTCGCCTAAATCCAGCGGAGAGCACAGGCGTGTGTTCAGTCTGAGTCGTAAAGGCAAGGCCAAAGAGCCGTCGGATCAAACTGGAGGTAACAGTCGGTGTCCCTTTCCTCGTAAAGACATTGACAGACGCTGCTTAGTAGTCGTTGCGCCTAATACCTCGCAGATGCCTAAACAGGCACCTTCCAATGGAAACACCGACACAGAAGCCCAGTTGTCAGATGCTGTACAAGATGACTCGCCTTTTATCAGACCTCGTTCACCCTCTCCACTCCGTAATAGGCCCTCATTACAAGCGTTCCGAGGCACAGGCTCTGTACGATCATCCTCTGTGACGCGTAATCTAATTGACAAATCACGTGTTTCAGATGCGTGCTGGAACTCAAACTCTGATTCAAGCTCTGCAAGCTATTCCATGGGCAGATGTTTCAGATCAGGACGATGACCTCGCTAATGTCATAACATCACATGGGGATGAGGATAGTGACGAAGATTCCGGTGGTTTGTGATCTCCTGTATCGATTTCGTTTTCTGACACTTCGTTCCAGTAGTGCCTATGGCTTCTTCTATTCACGCTATTTATCGTCCTGTTGCGCGTTCGAGAAGAGCGGAAGCATCCTTATCATCACGCATTGCGTTGCCATCGCCAGAGGAAGGACATGAATCATCCGATGGAGATTTGGACGTGACTTGTCTCTCCGAAGAGGATGCTGATGCCGAGGACTTTGAAGCTGCTACCCCGCGCCCCGCAGATGTACCAAAGCCAGAACATGCTATACCGGAGCTGCCGACGGCCTTCCGACCTGGGGTGCACATGAGACGCAGGGCTTCTAGCCATGCTGGCAGTATCACAACTGTCAAAGTCGACCGGAGGACGCGCCTAGCCGAGAAATTAAAGGAGATCTTTGAGTTGAATGCCATTGATGAAGTTCTAGCCGGTGAGTGTCTCATTCATTGATGCTACTCACAATGCTCAACCAATCCCAGAAATGCCTTGCTGGTTGCTTCGCTCTGTCTGTAAGCAATTTGTCTCACACATTGACGCGCGATTGTAATGCCACGCATAGTGTTACAGGGATACATGTATCTCACAAACTCTCATTTATGCTTCTTTGCGCACATGCCCAGTCGAGAGGTAAGAAATCTATACAAACTCTTTGGGCGTGATTTTATAATTTCTGTAGGATCAAATACTCAAGTCAGGAACACTCAGCAAGAGGGCCAACCGTACTAAGCGATGGACAAAGCACTGGTTCGTGCTCAAGAATGATGCCCTCTCCTGGTATCACTCTTCCTCGGTAAGTGAAACAAATTATGAGACATCGCTATCTTATACCTCAATTAGGACCCTTATTTCATAAATGGTATAGTAGATCTTCGTTATGCGATATCTTGTGATCCATCCGGGGAGAAGGAGATACGTCTCCGAACCAACCAGAAGAATGTTCTCATGTCAGCCGACTCGGTTCCTAGTCGAGAAGAATGGGTAAAGGCTATAAGGAAAGTCATCTTTAAGGCACAAAATATGGGCGACACTGTTAAGGCAGGTCGATAATGTTCACTTTTGTGCGTATTAACATGTTACCTCTTGCAGATCGCAATCCCTTACTCGTCTGTCCTTGATGTCGAAAAGTCGTCAGCAATAGACTTTAGCGAGACCATCGAGGTCAAGGTTTTTGACGGGGAGCATTCTACGACGGACTCGTATTTCTTCGCCTACTTCCAGGACTTGCCGGTCGCGTTGGAACATATTCGCGATGCTGTGCGTTCACATCGTTCATCGGTCATCAGCTCGCCTCTGGCGCTCTTGGACACCACCTCTACCCGCCCGCCACAGCCTTCCGCCACTCAAGGTATGGATCGCACTAAAAGCCTCCCAACACCGGACACGCGTTTTGGCTCCTCTTTCAGGTTATCGTCTCTTCTGCGACCATTCCAGGACTCGCTTCCCACGTCTTTGGGGCGCACGAATAGTGTACCAGGGGCTCCCGAACCTATCGAAGCGCCTGATGAGTACACTCACATAACTAAGAGATCAGGTTCTTCACTGGTGCCTGTCACATCTTCACCTGATCCGATATCTTCGCCAGACTCAAGCAAGGCGCTCCACGCTCTTTCCAAAGCATTCACGATTGCCACTCCTACGGACCACACTTATCCTCCTTCCACGTCTGTGAGTGATTTGGCTTCTAGTCCATCTGCGAAATACATCCCATCAAGTGCTCCATGGAACGTGGGAGTGCCCTCGTGGCTCAAGGTCCCGCGTAGCCGTCTCGGCACCTCTACCTCGAATGCGTCTTCACTTAGTGCTCCCCCCAGTGGGGGTGGCATACATGAAGTATATTCTGTCCCATCAAATGCAGAGTCGGCGGCCCGGCGGAGCTCGGGAAGTGCTCAAGGTGATCTTGGATACAGTGTTCTTGAGACACCAGAAGCTGTCGTTGATCCGGAAGCTACTGAGAAATTCAGGAGTGCATTTGCCTTTGACGAGAAGGAGATCTTGTTGGGCTGTATGTGTATTCCTTTAATCTCGTGTTTTGCTGTTGAGCGTCTTTTAGATTTTATTGGATACCTATTCCGTCTTCTACCAGTACCTGGCCGGCTGTATGTCTCGACCAACTATTTCTGTTTCAAGTCAACTGGCCCTCTTTCTTCCAAGACTCGGGTACGCAATTCTTGAATCCTCTGGGTCTGCCCCTCACGACACACTTTCCTAGATGATTCTTCCTATTCGAGATGTACTGAGCGTCGAGAAGACCAAAGGTACTCGGTTCGGCCACTACGGTCTCACAGTCGTTATCAAAGGCCATGAGGAACTCTTCTTTGAGTTTGGCTTCGATGACCGCCGAAAAGCATTCGTTGGCATTCTGGAACAGCAAATGGAAGAGGTCAGGAAGCGTGCGAGTGCGGGAGATGTCCCGGTTCTCAGTCAGGGGAAAAAGGATGCACTCATCTTGGAGGAGTTCGAGCCTGGCAATTCTTCAGACTCAGATCCCGCTCCTCCACTTGAAAGCATGTCTGAATCGCTCCCAGCAGTCATGTTCACCTCTTCCTCGTCGACATTCCTGACCTTTAAACCCAAGGAATCCTTACATTTTACTTTCCTGACAATCGGCTCGAGAGGAGATGTGCAACCTTACATAGCTCTTGCGAAGGGCCTCATGGAAGATGGTCATCGAGTCAAAATTGCAACACATGGTGAATTCCGTGAATGGATAGAAACCGTTAGTCACCCACCTCCCTGAGTTGGCACATTATTGACACGCCTGGCAGCATGGAATCGAGTTCGGCTATGTTGGTGGAGATCCAGCAGAACTCATGCGGATCTGTGTTGAGAATGGCACATTTACTGTGGCATTCCTCAAGGAAGGCTTGTCAAAGGCGCGTTTATGATGTATGAGTATTCACCGATCTTACATCCTTCCAGTTCCGCGGGTGGATCGATGACCTTTTGAAGACTGCATGGGAAGCATGTCAGGGCACAGACATCCTGATTGAAAGTCCCAGCGCCATGGCCGGAATTCACATTGCAGAGGCACTCAAGATACCCTACTTTAGAGCTTTCACGATGACTTGGACACGTACTAGGGCATACCCACATGCCTTCGCTGTTCCAGAACACAAGGTTTGTGAGACATGTCACTGCCCTAGGCTGGAGCTCATGATAATTCTTCCAGATGGGTGGCGGGTATAACTATATGGTGCGCTGAAACTGTATTCGTTCATCTCTTGGACTGACGACAACGATGCCAGACTTACGTTATGTTTGACCAAGTATTCTGGCGTGCTATCTCGGGGCAAATAAACCGTTGGCGACGTAATACTCTGCACATAGGCAATACCAGCCTTGATCGTATGCAGGTTCACAAGATACCTTTCCTGTACAATTTCAGTCCTACGCTTGTGCCCCCTCCTTTAGATTGGCCTGAGTGGATCCGCATTACTGGTATGCTCGAGTTCTCCTAGCATGACAACTGTTTATCTCAATTTATCATTAGGATATTGGTTCCTCGACGACGCAGAAGTGAGCGCCAAAAAATGGACTCCACCACCCGATCTCCTACCGTTTATCGATTCGGCTCATGAAGCTGGAAAGAAGGTCGTCTATATTGGCTTTGGCAGCATCGTTGTATCAGACCCGGTGGCAATGACCCATTGCGTGATAGAGGCTGTTTTGCGGAGCGGCGTGTATGCAATTCTCTCCAAGGGCTGGTCCGATCGATTGCACACGAAGTCTTCGGAAATATCTGAACCCGAAGAACCATTACCCAAACAGATCTATCCGATTAATTCCATCCCTCATGACTGGTTGTTCCAGCGTATTGACGCTGCATGTCATCACGGTGGTGCTGGAACGACTGGTGCAAGTTTAAGGGGTTCGTACACTGTAAATCTTTATTGCTGATCTGATGTATTTCTTGCAGCTGGCATACCAACCATCATCAAACCTTTCTTTGGAGATCAGTTTTTCTCCGCCGATCGTGTTGAAGCCCTTGGCATAGGAACGGGTGTCCGCAAGTTGACCGCGGAGAGCATGACTGAGGCGCTTGTCTCTGCGACTACAGATGTCAAACAAATTGAGAGGGCGAAGCTAGTCGGAGAACATATACGCGCTGTAAGTCAATTCAATTAACACTTGCGGGTATTTTTAACCGAGATATAGGAGAATGGAATTGCAACCGCAATCGAGGCCATCTACCGTGATCTTGAGTATGCTCGCTCGTTGATCAAACGAACCCCCAATGAACCAGAGGCTGCGCATGATGTCGAAGGCGCCGCCCGCGACGAGCATAATATCGTATCATCGCAATCCACTCTGGAGCGTTCTGGTTCTGGTTCCCGGACTTCAGCAGATTCACGCCGAATTAGTGAAGACTGGAGTGTAATTTCTGATGGCGACGACAAGCGCCCCTCCGGTTCAGGCAGGGTGAACGATGGCAAGCTTGACCGGTCCTCAACCTTCAAACGTAGCAGTCTTGCGGCTGCCGTCATGTCTGTGCTGCCAGACGCACTCACCACTCATCGCCAACCGACAGGGTCACAACTATAAGTTGATTGTAATTTATCTAGTTTGCTGTAATACTCGTATCATTGTACAACGCTATTTTTCGATCACTCGGGCTGTTAGATATCTTGCGATACTTAGATATAATACATGGATCATATTACCCTGGCTTCTTTGTAGTGTTCCTCCAGCACCTTCTTGCTAAATGACCCGAAGGTATCGCTTTCAGAGATACGTTGATGGGTATCAGGCTGCATGAAGAGAGCAAATGTCTCTCGTGATATCTTTGCTCCAACTTGTGTTTGCCCAACCCGCACGCAGTGAGGTGTCGCCCGTAACTTTCCAGCAGTGACTAACTCCAGGGCCTCGCCTGTTTGGAAGGCAAGGCAGTCTGGAGGAATCGAGACCTTTGTCAGATCTCTACCTCGAGTTCTGATATACAAGCCGGACGTCGGAGAAGGTGAGGGAACAGCAGTAGGTTCCATTCCTGCTTCTTCACGAAGGAATATAGCCTAAAGCACAGCATTCAAAACTTCACACATGATGTTTATGCACTCGGGCATGTACTTACCGAACACAACCCAGTCAGGAGTGAATGATCTTTATGAAAGCCGCACCAACTATCGATGGGTTCATCCTCAGCGGTAGGGCTATTTTCTGAAGGAGGGAAGTAGTGCAGAAGGCGAGCTTTAGCGGTTTGTGTGCTGATGAGTTCTGGAACAGATAAAGACACGTCCGTCAAATATTTGGAGACTGAGATCCTCATCAATAACTGTTCGTAGCGACGCTTTGTTGCATATACTGACCAAAGGGCTGACAGGCGCCCGCAAGATGACGCCCAACATCGAAAACGAACCCTCCCAGATCCTTGAAGGCTTCTTCAAAACCTTCTATACCGATTTCGTTCTTGTCGGGCCCTTGGTAACATTTAATGTTCAACATACCGTAATAAAAAGAATGATACATACAGATGTTATTGCCGTAGATTGGTGGATACGCAGCTTTTACAGCGGGGTTGACGTCGGGAACATCTACCACGGGGTTAGCGTAGTAAGACCCTTTCAGCGTGTCTAGTTCCATGGTAAGCAAGTATCCAGCCAATAGGCGGTATACATGATCATTCGCACCTGGCCGTCCATTCATGATTTCCTAAGGGGCGGTATCAGTCAGTCCACTTTATTGATTAACATCCTTCAGCCTTCGTAACACTGACTTTCCCGTGCGACCATCCGTAACTTCAGGTCGGAGTCAAAAACATTGCTACTTGGGCGAGTGCAGACTTGACCTACCTGTATATGCTCCCAGGGTCCACGTACTTCTCCCTTATGTCCTCATCCAGATGAGCAAAATCGTATGCAAACTTCAGTAGTCTTTCCCTGTAGACAGGGTAGACAGGCGGAAGATCTTTCACTAGTATAATCCCGAGGGCCTGAGAATGCGATCCAAACGCCTCCTCTTGTAAGAGAAAGGATCGGCATTGGTATAGCGGCATTCGATGTTATACATGACTCACCAATGGATGTCTCTAGAGACGAGGGTGAAGATACAAGTGTTTGGTAAGAGATTGACACGACGTCTGTGGACATGGTACGCGATCCCTGCAAGGCATAGCTTAGGGACGTCATGGAGCGAAAAGCTCGCCATCGAACGGAGTCCGAACCTTAGACACTACTAATGTTGAGTTCCAAGCCTTGAAGCAGCCTTATCGCTTGAACTGCCGTCACTTAATACGCCCGGTACTGCAGGTGTAACATCATATGACTACTAATAATATTAATATAGACCAACCTTCACCAGCAGCAACCTTATCCCACGAGTACTAATGTCGTGTACTATCATCTGGAGAATGTAGCGAAGGTATACTAATTGTGCATCGCTTTGGAAAGTAGCGAGCCAGAGCAACAATCGAGACAAGCTGCGGAAATTTTGCTGTCGGACAATATGCTACATGTGTGATGAGAACGAGTGCATTTCAATAGACAGGTTCTAACTTCTGACAAATGATTGAGACGGATCATCATAACTTTCGGAAAGCACAAGTTAGAGGGTTGGATTTACCAGTAGTCGCAAGATGCTAGAATATCATGACATTCCTTTCCTTCGAGAGGCTTGTCCGATGAAGGGCCACCGCCAAGTTTACATCATTCTAGTGAACCGGAAAGCTTAGGCAATGCATATTTCAAGAACGGTGGTCGTAACACAATCAATTTGTGAAGGTTGATTTTACTTGGCTGGATGCGATTGCCAGTGCGTCGAGAAATTGAGAGTGATCAACAAGAATAACTTACAGGGAATGAACAGTGAACGGACCCGATGAACCTACAGCGTATGAATGGTGTTTACTGAGTTCGGCATCGCGTTCTCGTTGAATCATCTTCTCAGATGCCCGTAAGTTAAGGATGACAACTGGAGAACTCTCCGAGAAAAAGCTGAAGTCATGGCGGGGCATGAAAGTGAATTCCTCCTCATGGACAAACTATCACATAAAATAGAGGTTTCAGCGCAATGACTGGGCCTGGTTAAGATGGACCTCCGAGGATCTATGCACCGCAAAAATATTGTCAGGAGGTTTCGAACCAGCTCCAAGAGAAACAGATTTTGACTCTGTTGTGATAGCCCTTGGCTAAGACCAGTTAGATGCACGTCCGAGGAAACCATCCATGAGTCAATGTCAAGGTGTCTTCCGATAAAAAAAGACCTGTCATTCAGCAAGTTTCGAACCTGCATTGTTAAAGAGGAACAGATTTCGATTCTGTCGCAGTAACCATTTGGCTGAGACCAGCTAAGACGACATCCGACGAAGCCATCCATGAATCAATGTCGAAGTGTGTTCTGATAGGGGAAAAGAACTCTTGTTGTCAGTAGGTGTAACAGGTTTTGATTATGTCGTGGAAACTAGCTGGCTACAAGACCAGTTAAGATGCCTCCAAGAAAACCATCCATGAGTGAATCTTTAAGGCATGTTCCAATAATAATAATAAAACCCTGTCACATCTGCAGATTCGAACCTGCACTGGCAGTCCAAGAGATAGATTTAGATTCTGGTAGACATTTGCAGCCAGGACGAAGTCGAGATGAACCTCCAATGAAACCATCCATGAGCGAATCTTCAAGGCATGTTCCGATAGGAAAAAGAACTTGTCGAGCGGCAAGTTTCGAACCTGCACAGTTCCAGCGAAACAGATTTCGATTCTGTTGTAGCGACCACTTAGCTAAGACGAGTTAGATGAACCTCTGACGAAACTATTCATGAGAGACTGTCAAGGTGTGTTCCGAGAGAGAAAAAACTTGCTGTCGGTGGGTTTAGAACCTGCGCAGTCCAAGTGGAAACAGTATTCTGCTGTGGTAATCACTTTGGCCAGTACGCCCCGTAACTTCAGACGAACCTCCGAAGAACTGTGAATTGAATGTCAAGGTGTGATAAAAGCAAGGTTTGAATCCGCAGATTCCGCACCACCCAAGATTTCTAGTCCGTTATAGTGCCAGTTGGCTATGATTGCTTAAGATAGACCTTGAAGGATCCATCAATGAGTGAATGTTCAAGAGGAAAAAGATTAATGTTGAGCAGGTTTCGAACCTGCAACAAATTTCTGTCGGTACAGCTTGGCTTAGCTGCTAAGACTGTTCAAGATGGACATCTGTACGAGTCGAAGAACATCATGCATTACCAGTAGAATCACATAGGATTGGCAGTCATTTGCCAACGCCAAATGAAATAAACAGACTAATAGTTCGATGGACACAAAACATGCCAGGAATATCCGAATAAGCAGCTGGCGCCGTCGTAAAGTTATTTATTAATTCTCACGGGGGATCGTACAGCCACTTATTGACGTCGACCTTGTAGTAGTATAGTACAAGGTAATTATCGTCACAAAGCGGTTTGTACCACGTACATTCTAGACTAGGACCACCGTAGTAGGAGTTGTGCCGGCGCCTAAGACAATCGCAGAGGGTATGTGATGTATAAATCCTTTGCGATCCTTGCATGCAAACTTCTGTGGTTGTATACACGTACGAACTACTGGAAATCACAACATGACTCCTTTCTGTACTACCAGAGATGTCTCCGACAAGGCATGCCTGAGCGCCTTCCCAGTGTCATCGATCGAATGTAAGAAGCGTAAGAGTTCCCGACAAAGTTGCCAGTCCTGCGCTTTCACAGCACAGTTCAGCAATCGGACAGCATCTTTATTGTTTTCGTCGAGCTGCTCAAGATTATGCAGCACCAATAAATATGAACCTGCTGTCTTCAGTCGTTTGGACGCCAGACACGTCTGTTACGATAAGTTAGCGAATTTCTGTTCTACAAAATTTAACTGCATCTCACCTCAAAAAGTGTATGTGGGTTCCCAACAATGCTGAAGAGACGCTTCCATCTGGTCATTTCAGTTTTCCGAGCACATCCAACGACGACGTCTAAGGAGGCGTCAAAGTGATCAAGAAACTCTATCACTGCCGCGAGTGTACCAGACTCAGGGAACGTGCTTGTGGAAGGATCTTCTGAGTCTACGGTGGACTCAGACTCCACGACTGTATGTAGCAGTATTTCTAATGCATGTGCGAAGAAGACCAGATGCTGATAGTGTTTTGCGAGCGTCACTGCCTCCTTCACTTGCCCGGATTCCAGGTGATAACGGAGGACATGGTGCAGAAAAAGATGGGACTTGAAATAGGTAAGTATAGACACAAGTGGTCAGAGAAGAAACCCACACTCGTGGCATGTCTGAACATTACAAATGAGAGGTTCATTCTCGTTGCGGCCTCATGCTCGGCGCCGATGATAATTCCCTTGTCCATGAGAACAGCTGCTTGTCTATCAGCATCCCACAGGACCCCAACGACACGAGGAATATACACGCACACAAAGGGTAGAAGTCCAATGGTATGCTCACACTTTCCTTAACGCTTGAAGGTTCATCGGCAGACCCGGATGACTCAATGGCAAGTGCATTAAGCCAAACTCGCATGTTTTGTCCATCGTAACCCCAGAGTGAATTCTCGAGTGCGCCAATACCACGGAGATGTATCCAACAGAATTCGATGCGTTCTGCGAAGATTTGCATGTCGTAATTCACCTCCTGGGTACCAGACTGGAAGGCGAAGTTAATGATCTGCTGCGTTGATGTCTCGTCATAGCGCACCTTTCTGGGACGCAATAGCACCAACTGACCACCAACCACCATTAATACAGTGGCGACCGCGAGGTCATCCACAGGGTCACCAAGTCCTGGATGAGAGAGATGAGTAAAGAGTGCTCTGGAAGCCCATGAACGTACGTTTTTGAGCATTCGGGATCATCCAACTCAATGCCCTCACTGCGCTAGGCAAGGCAATGATTCCGTCAAATGTGATACTTCCGCACAGATGCAGCTTGATTGTATCAGCAGTCGGTATAATCAAATAGTGACTGAGCATGTTGTCGGCGGTATAGACCAGTAGTGAATTGTCGACCAACGACAATATGATTACGGGCGACGTTAGGACTTCGCGGTGGAGAACATTTTGATTGCTGAGTTCCATGTCTCTGGAGTAGAGCCGTATCTGATGGAGCACAATAAGTTGAATTCTACAAAGAAGCGAGCCCTTGCACGAACCTGATACGACTTGGAAATTTCCACTGCAGCAATCAGGACATGGTGGAACCATAGAAGTCCTCCTTTCACTGTAAATGCCTGCTCTTGGGCGATGTTCGAGAATATTTTCCATCTGCCCGATGTCGAGCTATAATGTACCAGACCTCGCCTACCGGCAATGGCAATCAATCGCCCATCACTGCTGAGCGCCGAATATTTTATGGGCCAATTTGTTGCTAGGTAGGATTGAGGTATCTGCCATACCTAAGTTTAATGGTATGTATGTGATGGTTGGGATACTGACTTTGATGTGCTGCCACACATCTGACTCTGGGTTAATGACGCTCATGTCAGGCTGCTCAGCGCCTCGGTACACCAGCGCTCGATCATCCGTCTGCAGAAACGCGTAACGAGTGTTATCCTGCTCACTGTGTGATAAACCTTGTATCCCCGAGTAGTAACATTAACTCACTGGAGAATGTTGGCATGTAGTTGCACTTTTGGCAAATGGCAGGACAAAAACTTGGCCGTCCGGTTCTATGATCATGACGTGAGATTTTGGTATCGCAAGTAGAACAAACTCACTTATTCCGGAGGGAGTTAGGACAACTAGCTCAAAGTTTCCTGGTGCCCAGAACTGTCGAGGTTTAAATCACAGTGCTGCAAAGTGGATAGCAGATCATACTGACAAGGTTCTCGACTGCGTGCATGAAGGTATCTTGAAACCTATAGCAAAATCAAAATGTAAATTCCCTGGCATCCCGTCAAGCCACGAACTCACCTGTCGCCATCAATGTGATCTTCGACGCCAAAGCCAGATGCAAGACATCGTCCGCCCACACTGAATATTGCCCAGCCATGTGTCCACCCAACAGCTAGCACATATCCATCCGAACTCCACTCCATCGCAGTCACAGAACCACTCGAACGGTTATACGGGTTTGGTATCTCGACAACTTTCGGAGTGGGTGTAGGCTCATCCTGAGTCGGAAAACTCGTAAATTCGATGGAACCACTAATCCGAGGAATTAGTTGGAAAAATCAAATACAAGGGATACTGCAAACCTTTGAGTGCCAACTGCAACGAGTGAAAATCTCGTGTTGACATCTATTGCTACAGCCCGACGAGGTTCAATGTAGGCTGACGATGATTGACCGCTGCCGTCATCGGTACTGCGCTGCTTTTGCACCCAACGCGGCACGTCAAAGTCATGGATACACGTGCCTTCCCAATGGTAGTGTGGCTGCGAGCCAGAACTGTCAGTTGATGGTCTGGATGTTCCATTAGCTAGGTTCGATGTTGAACTCTGGCTCAAAAGCTATGTTGAGATATTGAATAGTAATAGAACAGGGCAACCCACTTTGTCAGTCTCTTCCTCGTCAAGCTCTGAAACGTTTTCTGAATGCCTATTTTCTTGTAAACGAACAAAATATGCTCTCCCATCAGAGGTGATCCAGGTTTCCACCCCCGATATCGAGTGAAGAATCTTCGTGACAGTAACTTCGGCTCTGGTAAGTAACGTCAGAGACACCGGAAAACCAGGGACCTACCATCAGGGTATAAAAGCCAAGGCAACTCGTGGTCGTTCAAAATCCAAGTATCATGACCCATAAGCGACCTGCGCGCTGTCTGCTCCTCGAGTTCCGATTCGTCGTATACTGGCCATGGTATGCGTTGTACAGCAGGCGGAGAATTGGTTGAAAAGATGATGTAGTTTTTGCGTGGTGAAACGCTGAAGAAACCCTCAATCAAATGCACCAATATGAATTGCCCGAGCCGACCTGAGAACCTGCCCCTCGGCACATATCACACCTTCGAGTGCTAGGCTTAGTGACTGTAGTGGTATGCCCTCTCCTGGACCCTGCAAGAAGTTGCGCTGCACACTCGGACTCATGTGTGATGACTGGTATGCCGACGCATCTGGAACATGATCGACTGTAACCAGGATCAAATACGACATCGTAGTCTATGTCCACGAAATCAATGTCTGCAGGATAGTTGACCGCTCACTTAGAAATAAGAGCAGACCTGAATAACGATCCTACTCCCGTCTGGTGACCAAGTCACCGCCGTATTATCACCATGTTCTATGAGAGAAGCTTCTGACCTCGAGATATGGGCCAGCGGAGCAGAGGGCTACAAAACATGGATGGCGCTGAGTTGGAGAATGTGATAACACTGAAACCTACATACTCGGACGCGCCAAACGGACAAAGAGCTCCTTGTGAGTAAGCAGAAGAGGGACTTGCGCGGACTAGCTTCGAAGCACAGCACAGGTTCGGGGGTGATATCAGGTAGAGCAGGAACAGTCAACAACTGCCTTGCCGCCGAGGTAGGAAAGTACATTCGTTGCTGCTGTATCACCGAATGCGAATTTAGACTCGAGAGTGCGAATGACGACAGCAATAAATGACCACAAGACAAGAGGAGGGGTTCAATTATTTAGGCGAACAGTGAGCTGGAACGGTAGGTCTCATATCATTGCCGCCGATGTGAAAAACAGTTCGTCCCTTACATACCTCACATTGCACACTCACGCACTTACGCATTTGCACAGCCCGAACACATACGTGAAAAACATTTGTGAGGGTACTAGATGCCACTAATGATACAATGAGTGCAACAGGTAAAACGAAAACCAGATTATGTCGAGCAGGGAGCAAGTAAATAAAAAAAGACTGCAAACCGATCACCTACTACCCCATATTTTGCCCAACCAAGTATTTTCAGTCGTGGGCGAAGAATACTCCTCTGGCGTATGCCCAGCATTGTCTGGGCTGTGGGATGAAGCCGGAGTATCTGAAGAAGCGAAAGAACGTTCTGAGTGAAGATGCGTTATATACGAGCCTAACGCCATAGGCTGCAAACGAGCCTGGCGAATTAGGTCAAGAATGAGGGAGACACCCTGCCGAGACTACAGGGAGATCAGATGAATTTTAATGAAGAAAGACAGTAAAACAAGCTAACTCTTTGAACGTGGGCCTTGAACCGAGCGAGTCCGTGGCTCTCAATTCGTTTTGTCATTCCCCAGCCGAACTTGGAGGTAATGTATGCCTCCGTTGTCTGCACAGTACGACTGCTCGGGACAGCCGTTAGTGCAACTCGTCTATGTAAGATAAGTGACACGTACCCGTCTCCATTTTGCTCGAACAGTTGGGTTTCCTCGACTTGCATAACCTTGACATGATCAAGGTTTTTAGTCCTGCACCGAACAAACTTTCCAAAGGGGTCCACTTCGCTCTCCTCGATGACCCAGGACTCCGCCCTCGAGATAATTCCTTGAGGGGCCCATCTTGGTAAAGCTCCCCTTTTCAAAATAAGTCTTGTTGTCAATAAGGAGCCCGACTCTGTCTGGTGCCTGTCAATGACATCGCACGAGATGACATGTGCAGCGTATGGATTAGGATAGCGTAAAAAGAAGGCGAGAGAGACAATGGACCAGGGATCGCTGCATATTTTTGAGCATATGAGCGGCAAACCTGATTATGATGAAAAACTACTCACTCGTACAAGAAGGATTGAGAAAAGAACTTCATTGTCAACGATCCCGGTACGGTTGGTTTCAATTCAAGTCGTGGTTAAAGAGTAGAGCGAGAGAGAGGACAGCACAGCTACAGGATGATGTGTGGGTGAAGGGCACTATGTATATCAGAAAACACAATTCATTCATCACGTAAGTAATCCCAATCCGTTAACGGCCGCCAGGACCATCTAAAAGTATCAAAGCACAGTGAATCCATGGCACAACCAATTGTATCAAGATACACGACAAAATTAAGGGGGATGGTAATACCAGGAAGAATCCCACAACATGGCGTCAAAGTTCCCCTTCAGTCGTATGTCTCGTCAATGACCGAATCATCATTAGATACAAATACCCTCAATCCATCATAGGATGGCCGAATCCACACGGGCTTCCCTTCTCGAATCATCTCCGTCCCCCGACGTTCCACGATGCTCATGTGAGTTGTATCTTTAGAGCTGTCTCCCCCCGCGGCCTTGCCAATAGTTACATATTCATCATGAGAGATGTCATGGCTGAACCCAGTCAAATAGGTTCGGCTAGGATTCAGCCTTCGCACCGCAGCCACTGCTTCCTGAATACCCATATGCGACATATGGGACCTCAACCGCAAGCAGTCGAGCACCAACACTGGCATTGGTTTCTTTGCCGACTCTAGAAGGGCCCAAGTATCATCGGGTATCAAAGATACGTCAGAAATGTAAATGATGGTGTCCTGAATCAAAAACCCAAAGCACAAGTACGGATGAATCTTGGGCGGCGCGTTGCTGCAGCAGGTGCCTGACAAGGGTCTTACGGGGGATGACCTCCCCGACAAGCTGGGAGTTGTCGGCTCAGTTGCGCACGGTGTCGGTGTGAAGGCTGGTGGAGGATTCGTGGCAAACAACCTGCCATGATGAACTAACCGATTCAGCCAATCGAGAGTAGACTTCTGTCACAGCATTAACCAACCTATGAATGGGGTAATCTGGACACCCGTGTCCTTGATTTCAAATGGGACCTTGTCTTCTATGATGTGCCATTCAAAATCCGGCACCTGTTTTCCGCGGTGATGCATATCAAATATAATGACCGAGTAAACGAAAGAACAACTTACATCACCTCCCCCAGATGCGAATTCTTTCGAGACTAAATAAGGGAAAGATCTTTGAACTTCGTGAAACGTGGACAGAGAAACATAGACATCGATGTGAGTTTGTATGGCGCCTCCGAGCGTCCACCCTGATGTGGAACCATAAGGGTGAACATGTGATGCTATGTCATCGTTCCTATCCTTACCTCGGAGATCGTCCAAGCCATTCATGGCTATCAAGACAATCAGCACTGTCGTCCATCTCAAATAAGCAAATCCAACCATCAGCATGTGCGTGGGTGATGATGACAGCGTCAATCTCCCTCAATCCATACTTTGGAAACCACTCCACCGCCGCAGCTTGAAAGTTTTTGCCTACATCGATGACCACGGTTCTGGTTCAAGTCCATGATTTGGGGGTCAGGAAGAAAAGTCGTGTGGACCTACGTTGTCTTGCCGTCCTTGCCTGATATGCGGAGAGCCGCGGAGGTATTTCGCCTGATGTTCTTCTTTCCTTCTGGAGTCAGCGTAGAGAGGCAGGTCAAACAGGGCTCTCTGTTGGGCGGAGCGGTCAGGCAGTCCAGGTGAGGGATCGAGGAGGAAGTGCCTGTTCCAAGGAATAAGAGCTCGATTGGAGGAGTATTAGAAGGAGAGACAATGGAACCCATTAATTGTAGGACTGTAGGGGGAAGTTGAAAGGAGGGGCTACAGTCGGTCCTCGGAGGTACGCCGCTTTTCAATGTCAAGAGCCTAATTTCCGAGTTTCAACTTACTCCGATGAGCCGTTGTCGATCTCGATCATGGACACCCACGTCCTTTACGGCGGCACATGTAACCACGGCTAATACACGGACCTTACGCATCGGTGCGGAGGCTGAGCACTGAGCGCTGAACGTTGAACGTTTGAACGATGAAAAGCATTCATAACAGGTCTAGCAAGAGCGTTGTCATGTTTATGACAAATTTCTGTTACTGGCAGAAGACCACCAACACACAGCATCGGCCACTTGAATGATTAGCCGATGCCGTTCGCCCTTAATACGAACGAACGGTTATGATCTACTTAGGGCCGGTAGTACCCCATGCTGCTGATAAGCCCGTGGAACTCGATTCACAGCAGATTTTGGAGTACAACTACCTTCCAAGTTATCCCGAGGCAGCTGAACATAATAGCGTCTATACTACGACAGCTCCAATCATTGGATTGTAGGCAACGTTTTGGAAAGGGGGAATCGTTAAAAGCGACAACTAATGGACAGACAGGTCGACGCAAAGATATTTGCCCTTGTTTCTCATGCCGATAAGCACATACCAGTGGCTACTTCGTGAAAACTATGGAGGGTAAAATGTCAACAACAGCGATACTGTCAAAGAAGGAAACATACTTGAGACAACATCTTCGTCTTGCAACTGATGGTTCAAACTGACCTTCTGTGCATGGGGCGAGAACTTGGATGAACGGCCCTATTCGAGTGGTCAGTGGCCACAATCTGTAATGCAAACAAAATTATATATACCCTGTCGAGAGCTAAGGATATGTGTGGGTCGACAAACGCGTTTACTCACCAGACAAGTCCATTGCGGAAGTTCAAGACAAGTGATTTATGAATACCCAAACAAACATCCTACAGCGATGTCAAGAAAGTCTATGAAACAACAGTGAAATTACACACTTCGATAGTAGCGCCTTTTCTCAAACATACAGGATCCGACAAGTCGGGTCGTGCACCCCTTTTCTTCGTGTAGACTTTGACAAGCTCTAAGCTTTCCCATATCCGCTCGATAAGGTAGTCCAGACTAGTTACTGGTGATGAGACTCGAGAATGGATCTATGTGAAAGTAGTCAACTCACTTGAGGTCCATCTCGCAACTGATCACGACCGTATTCTCCGTTCTTGCAAGTTTATCTACCTGATTATCATGGGTCCTTCAGGATGTCAGCGTCAAGTTGGTCGGTTTGTACGGACCAACTCCAGACTAATCGCATCAATCTTGTTATAAACATCTGTCCGAAGTCAGATCTAAGCGTCACCTTAAACCAAGCAAAAAGGACATACATAAACAAGGTATATATTTTCGAGTTCCTGTGATTTTCCGAGCCAAATGAGCAATTTGTCTCGGTACATACAGCTGTCATACCAATGAGAACATCGATGAACTCGTCTGTTGTAATCTTCCAACGACGTCGTGAGCGATAGTCGAATGATGGGGTTATTGACATACATCTTCTCGGATCATCACATCGCAGTTGTGTAGTTTATCTGCGTCTGGTCAGTAAGGTACATGGAAGTCAACCCAGTGCGCATACATCCTGCTAGAATGGTACGAATAGTCTTCTCGTCTGTCTTGGTGAGTTTTACTGTAGTATTCAGCTAAATAATTCGTTCAAGGTTTGACGGGCGCATGAATGCAGCTGTAGCGTACGGTTATCTGCAAGTATGATCAGAATGTGACAAGAGACATGGACCAGCTACTCACACCACCAGTTGTCCGTCGTTTGAACACTACGTCAGGCTTGCGTTTGTTAAGGCGGATGCCAACCGCATCGAGTTCGATCTCGAGAAGCCGTCGCTGCTCTTCAGACTTCGTTGCGTCGAGCATGATGAGAATGAGATCGGCCGTCTTCGCCGCTGCGCCATACTTATTATTTTTCATTTAAACAAATCAAGGCACTTACTAGCAACAACCTGTCGTCCTCGACCGCGGCCTACAGAATAACGATATTTTTTATTTAAAAAGAACGGGACACAAACCTTGGCTAGCACCCTCGACAATTCCGGGAAGATCGAGCAATTGTATACGTGCCCCCTGGTATTCGATCACCCCAGGTATCGCCTGAGTGTTCCAGACGAGTCAGTCATCAGCAGGGTATGCTCGACGAGAGTTGCTGACAGTAAGGGTTGTGAATTCATATGCTGCTGTTTCAGATGCGGTGTGAGTGCATTTACTGAGGAGGGTGGACTAAAGTTTCCTTTCAGCTAATATTCGTGCATGTTATGGATTAACTCACCTTCCCGACGGATGGAAATCCTATCAATGCAACTCGGGCATCTCCTGATTTCTGCACATCAAACCCGACACCGGCTGGCCCAGACTTTGATGCGGGTTCGAGAAGCTGGGCCCGATATCGAGCCAACTTTGCTTTCAGAAGACCCAGGTGATATTCTGTAGCCTACTTGGGATGAACGTGTCAAAGCGCCTGCCAATCGCAGCTAGTCTACTGTCTTTTCGATATGTACCTTGTTTTTCTGAGCTGAGGCATGTCGTTCAGGTACGATGCAGCAGACACGGCGAAGAAGCACTCACTCCTAGCCATCTCCTCTGTATAATCACATCGAGTTTAGTAAACCCAACAATTATCTATGAAAGTAGTAGTAGTATGTTGCTCACCCTCGATCTCCTTAATCTAGAAAATATATAAAATGCCGCGACAGTCAGCATCATCCAGAAAGCGCTATGTAGCTCACCTTCTCGACGATGCCCATTTTAGCTAAGATTTCTGACAACGATCTACAAAGTGTCTGTGTCAGTACAAAGATGGTGACGGTTCTCCACAACGTTCTAATTTCCAGAGATGATCTTTTGATTTCGAGGGGTCACGTGAATGCTATATTCGTTATTGAATTTCATTTCATTTCTATTGTCGCAAACATATTACATAGTAATAGGTCTCTATTCTGATCACTTCCAGTCCAGTTCAGCTTGCTGCAGCGGCTTTCTTTCTTTTAGACCACCAGTTCCGGTCATGAGGAAGCATATGCCATCCCTACTTGCCCTGCAAGAGCATGACCCAAGCGATGCCGAGGACGTGGACTGGGTCCAGCCCCCAATCGCATCTAGACACCCTTCATCATCAGTCAGCATGCACTCTTCCTCAAGTGCGGCTCTGCGCAGCAGAGGAAAGAATAGGCCAAGGAATGCATTCTCGTCGAGCTCAGCATCTTCCCATTCCAATCACAACACGTTGTCTCGGGCCTCTAAGTACTCAGATATCTACACTCAATTCGTGAAGCGCTACAGGTCCGAACCAGGTCTTGACGATGATCCTCGACATGATCCAGACAGTAACTACTTTCAGAGAGGTTTGGGGCAGCTCGTAGACGCAGGAGATAGTGACGATGAAGACCTGGGGCGCATCTCACTCATGGGGGGTGACGGTGTAGACCGCGTCACGGCTTTGATGCTTGAATCGGAGCAAATCCAGCCAGCGACTGTAGAGGATAAACAGCGATTAGAGTGGCAGACTTTGCTGGCGTCCGTCTTGGACGGTGATGTCCTCAAATCAGAGAAGACTCGGATTGCTGTGGCCCTTGAGTCCTCATCGGAGGAACACAACAACATTCATCTCAGTATATGGCTTGGGTTACGCGCCAAGTTCAGTGGTCGCTCTATTGAAGAAGAGCGCAAGCGTCTTGAGGAGAGGAGGTTGCGCACAGTGGATTCTGTCATTGAAGAGATCAATCATTTCAGGCTTGCAGACGACGAACGCGATGCAATAACTGCACTCAAGCGTGTCAACGCTGTGCTGCTGCGATTAAATGCAGCACACTCGCTTTACCCTACCCTCAAAGCTTTCTACGCTGATAACGTCGTTGCATCCGAGCCATCTTTCCAGGCTCGATGCGATACGCTTAACACTTGGTCGACCGTGCTCTTGTCTTTGAGGCGTCATATTGGACTACTCCAACGATGGACTGAAAGCGAGACGCTCGATGTGACCAATACGACCGCAGACATCCCTCTCGCCAACCTGTATTCTTACGCTAACGGACCTACGGATGTGTCTGACGGGACCACTTTCGTAGAGCGAGTCCTCAAAGAGGATTCTATCCAGAAAACATTTGAGAGAGGCTTCCTTACCACTGTACACTCCTTCATCGGCACCGCTAGAGATGCGCAAGTCAACTTATCCTCCCTTTTTCAAGAAATGAACCTCCCCACTTTCGAGAACGAACTCGTCCCACTCATTTCCTTCCCAACAAAACTTGCGCAGGCATGTCTTCGCCTCCGGCTGGACTATGTCCAGAAACTTAAAGACCCAGAAGTCCTCATCATTGACCAAGTGACGGAAGATGTGAAGATAAGTTTGGGTCTTGCCTGCACGCTCAAGCGGCAATATGAGGCCTTCCTCGCACCCGATCTAGGTGGAAATTGGAATTTGCCCCAATGCATCAGCGACGACTATGATTCCACGATACTTGAAGCGCTTTCTATATTCTTCAGACTCATACATTGGAAGCTCAAGAGTGGGGTCAAAGGGATTTACTTTAAAGAGACGGATTTTATTGAGTCTCAGTGGGCGACTTTCAATGATGTCAGCATGACTGTTGCTGGTGGCCCGCAGCTGGTCGCCGAACAAGTCTGGTCAGTTTGTATCCCTGTCGCGTTCCCTCTTACTAAGGGCATATTTGTAGCTCATTGACAAACAAGCTCATGGTCCGGGTTGCAAATTACTTTGACACTCAAGTCCGATTACCTTCTGCAGACAAAAAGGCACCTCAACGTCGAGGGTCCGCGAATATATTTGACGCCGATATCATCGTCAACAATGTGTCAGGCCAAATGACTGACGAGCAGAAGGTCAATTGGTATGGCAAGATCTTGGACAACGTCCGGCTGCGCTATCGAAAGCTCCAACGTTTTGCTCGGTGCGTTGAACCTTGATGTGAAGGGTACGAAATTTGTACTGATGATATTGGGCATATTTAGGGTCTTGACCCAAAGATTCTGCAATTCGGCCGAATACAACTTGGAAGGCGTCCCCATCGAACAGGTCATCGCGGCTCTCGTGGCGACAGATCATTTTTTGGTCTACACGCGATCGTTTGAGGAAGAAGGAATCTATATCATCGCATCCAGTGCTTTGCGCGACCGCCCAGAAGCTATACGACGCATTCTTTTCGAGTCTTTCCATGCCAACGAACCTATGAATGACGAGGGTGTTCACGTGGTCGATAACGTAGAAATAATGGACAGTGAGGATGATGATGAGGCCGAATATCTTCTCCTCCTATCTCCTCTAACTCAATTTCTGTGGAATGGTCTGGTGTTCATGCTTGAACTTCCAAGGATGGATCTTGATATGAAGGACAACCGCTTGCGTCTTGTTGCAGATGGGCCCGACCGGCGTCTTGTGCTAGCCAAGGGACAATTCTCAGAGATCTTCATGGACGAAGATGAGCCTCTAGAAATGATGCTTACTCCTCTACAGTGCATCGTCGAACAACAAGCCCATCTGCCCACGGTCAACCGTGAGCTGCGAAAGATAGCTCGCGCGACCAACAAGCTGGCAGAGTCAATAGTAGATTCCGTGCACCACGTTCGACATTCACTGCGCAATGCAGTTGGATACCAGGAGCTCCTAGAGAATTGGTATCTATTCGCTTCCGAGCATGGGCAACATGCTCAGAAGTACATGGAACGTTCGCCTCTCAGCAAGTTTAACCGTCTGCTGATACGACTCGCCATCTCCTGGGTGTCGTTCATCTGCGATGACTGCGATCCATCAGACCGGAAAACTTTTCGATGGGCTGTGAATGCATTAGAGTTCACGCTACACCGCACTCGACGGAACAATATATTGCAAATGCCAGATGATCAATTCGAAATGCTGCGGCAGAAAGTTGCCAGCTGCATGACACTCCTCATCAGCCATTTTGACATTCTTGGTGCTCGGTCCACTTTGGAAGCGCGGAAGGAGAAGGAAAGACAAGAGGGACTTCTACGCGAGCAAGCTTCGATGACTGCCGATGAAGAGCCTGGATTCCCAAGGTCCTCATCGCCTGCTAATGATGACCTCCTCAGCATGAACATGTACTCATACACAGATGTCAACGTGCGTCTGTTTTGGGAGAAGACGGCAAGGGCGTTGCATGCACTTGAAAGCAGTCGAGCACAGACTGGCACAGACCAAAGGGTTGTAGGTCGTGTTCTTGACAACGAGAAACCCGAAGATCGGTCTCTCGTTTTCCTCGCGTCTTCAAGTTCCAACATCTCCATTCGCTGGCAGCAAAGGAGGTTTATTGGGGCTGGGGCATTCGGTTCAGTTTATCTCGCAGTCAACCTCGACTCCGGCTCCCTCATGGCTGTCAAGGAAATCAAATTCCAAGAGCTTTCTGGGCTTCCAAACCTCTACTCGCAAATCAGGGACGAGCTAAGCGTCATGGAGATGCTTCATCATCCCAACGTCGTAGAATATTACGGAATCGAAGTGCATCGCGACAAGGTATACATCTTTGAAGAGTACTGCCAAGGCGGAAGTCTGGCTTCTCTTCTGGAACATGGGCGAATTGAGGACGAGAGCATCATACAACTCTATACTATGCAAATGCTGGAGGGACTTGCATATTTGCATTCGAAAGGAATAGTCCATCGAGATATCAAACCTGACAGTAAGTTTGAGCATTCTGCGTTTACACATCAATTGGATCGTTCAATAGACATTCTCCTTGATCATCGTGGTGTCATCAAATACGTCGATTTTGGAGCGTCCAAAATCCTCGTGAAGAACCGCACCATGCAACGTTCACGCAGAGGAGACTTCGGTGGGAACGCTGCGAAAGCCGGTGGCTTTGGTGGAGGCTTAGGCATGAACAGCCTAACCGGAACGCCCATGTATATGTCCCCGGAAGTTATCAAAAATGATAAAAGAGGTCGTCACGGGGCAATGGATGTCTGGTCGCTCGGATGTGTGGTTCTAGAGTTTGCTACCGGCAAGAAACCGTGGAGCAATTTGGATAATGAATGGTACGGCCATCGTTCGCCTCTGATGTAAGGATTCATCTGACGGGATTGGGGGCAATAGGGCTGTCATGTTCCACATCGGAGTGGCTACGCAGCATCCACCCCTACCGGAACCCGGACAGCTGAGCGATCTAGGTATCAACTTCATCAAGCAGTGTCTCATCATTGATGCCATGAGAAGGCCGACGGCTGTCGAACTACTGGACCACCCCTGGATGCTCCAATTCGGCGAGACGCTCCTTGGTTATGAGGAGACTGAGTTGGTGACTAGTCCGCCTGTAGAGCTGCCGACAGAAGAAAACTATGAGATGGCTACTGTTGCAAGGCAGGCTGCGATCATCCAGGAGAAAGAAGTCGAGGCCATCCAGATACCCTCGCCTACTCTGTCGTCAACGGGAACGCCCACACCCGACGCTGAATATGAATATCAATGACGATAACTCACGCATACCGACGGCTCATTTGATCTCTGCAATATTCCGGCTCACACTTAGCAAACATGTAGCCTTACTTATACTTGTACCTCTTCATTCAAATGTTTTTCGTAACTTGTCTAGCTAGTCACATGTACACACGAACCAGCAGCATTTTCCGAGTTCCTTCTGACCTTCAATGCCAGTTTCACTATCGAAATGTGTCAATGTCAGAAAAGATGTTTAATCTTTGCACATGACTGTCCCAAATATGAACGGCAAGGTGCAGAAAATCAACTGGACGCAGAATCGGGCCATAGTGACTGATG